AAAAAAAAAAAAAAAAAAAAAACAGAACAATTTCATATTTAATCCCCAAGGAGCTGGTTAGGAGCAGTAACCAAACTGAAGAAAGAATATGAAATAAATACAATAATATGAACTTCTAATGGGGAACAAAAAAAACCTTCTGAGCAGATTTTCCTTAATCTTTCCAATATATATATAATTCTCAGCCAGGAATTTACAGCTACCACACAAGGTAATGACAATGTTGTTACCGTCAGAGGTCTTCTGAGCTCAAATATGTTCCAGCAGACCCCTTGAAACGTCTTCTAACAACCCCAAAATCGAAACAAAAAGACTCTCTCAAATATATAGCATAGCGGAGAATGTTCTCCTCTATACACCATGTAAAGCTTTTCAGCGACCTTGAATGCTTGATTTCCATCCCGCAAGTGATGTCAGAAATCCCATCACCTGCAGATACAATACAACATTGGTTAAAGTATGACATCAAAAAACAATATCAATATAAACAATCAAATAAACCAAATGATCCGCATACTATTACATTATGTTCAAATTCACCTCTACAAAATTAGCTTATTATATACTTTATTTTTGACATATCATTATGTAGGATCTCTAGCATTTTGAAGACAGTATCAGATTCAGAGCCTACCCTAATTATTATTCTATAAGATCACTTGCAAATATTTAGTTCAATAAACTTGACGCTGCAATCTTAGTGTCAGAGGAATGTTAGAAATCCTACATAGACTAGTGAAGACTAAAATAAACCAGTTTTTCAGGGATTGAGTTAAACTAAACTTAGATTCTTAAAATAAAAAAAGTAAGGCCAGGGAGTGCTTTATTTTCTTAAATGGACTAGCGTAAAAAATTTCTGCGAATATTTTTTTGCAAGAAAATTTGAAAGAAAATGACACTTTTCTAGTAGTATTACTTGTTCGAAATCACAAGGAGGATTGGGAATTAAAAATCTTGCAATGTGTCAATGTGGCTTTGTTGGCGAAGTGGGAATGGACTCTCTTCCATCGAACTATGGGGGCAAAGTGCTAATCTTAAAGTATGGCAGTTTCGATAGTGTTGGTTCTGAAAATGCTACCATTAAGACTTCTATTTGGTGGTGTGATTTATTAGAGGCTTGTGGAGGGGATAATGAATACCAATGGTTTGACAATTCTATAACTTGGAAGCTTAAGGACGGAATACAACCTTGATTTTGGTTGGATATATAATTGCACTGGTGGTGATTGCCTAGCTACAACTTTTACTAATGCATTAGCCTTCACATAAAAAGAGATAATAAAAAAAATGAAGAAAATAAGATAAAGAGATAAAATAAGTATACATTAACTTTTAATTGGTTTTCATATTAAAATAAAATAGTTGAAACACTGATTAAAACAAAAGAGCATCATTGACATCTATTGAAATATCAAAACAACAACAACCTAATACAACATAAATGATAAAACATAGCAGTTACATATAATCCAAATGTTAACAACTTTCTAAAATAATATAGATTAATAATCAATTTTTAATTCTTATTGTGAGCCACCGAAAATTTCCGTTATTAAGTATTCCTTATTTGGACAAAATCTTTTGAGGGAAAACTACTTCAAATATTAAATTATATAATAAGATAAGATTTATTTGATTTTTATATTTTCATTTTATGCAGATCGACAATATTATTCACATCTCAGTATTGGGGCATTTTATTAAATAAAATAAATTTTATAAATTAACCATTATTTAGAATTAATTTTAAAATGAAAATAATCTTATATAATTAATGATTAACTTGCATTTTGAGAATAGTTTTAAAAACCGGACCGGTCATCGAACCGGTTAAGGTATTGGGTCAGTGGGTCAAAGGTTGAACCGGTGGGTCACTGGTTGAACCGCATGACTCGATTTTTATTAAAAAATATTCATATTAAATATATTTATACTTATAAATTTTAATAAATTCATATCTTATTTTAAATTTAAATTTTTCTATCTTATTTAAAATTATTTTTATTTTTATTTTGTAAAAAAATACATAAAAAAATTACATGTTAAACGGTATATTAATACAAATTAAAAATATAAATAATATGTACATATATAATATGCTTGCAATTAATATCACAAAATAATATATGTAATATTTACATAGATATTGAATTATTAAATATATAATTTAAAATTAATAATATACTATAAAAGTTATTTAAGTTGTATATATTGCAAACAAATATATTAGAACAAGTAGTCATTGTTATATTTAATAAGACTCCTTGCTTTTTCATTAAGAGATTCAATTTTCATTATTATTTTTGTGATTTATGGTCCCTTAAAAAAAATATAAAAAAAAAAAAAAGTGGTTGAACCGGTTTGACCCACCGGTTCACCGGTTGAACCGGAAAATTGACCGGTTCAATCCGGTTTGAAACGGGTCGACTGCATAACCGATCCAACTCCAGATTCGGACCGGCTGGACCACCGGTTCCCGGTCCAACCGGTCCAACCGGCCGGGTCGGTCCGGGTTTTAAAACACTGATTTTGAGCCAATTTTTTATTTATTTACTCTTTATTTGGACGAATTTTTTTTTTTGGCAGGGAGCCGGGAATTACTTCAAATATTAATGACTTAATACACTACAAGAATGTTGGTTATTAGTGTTGGCTTCTAACCGACTCTAATTTTAAAAAGCCGATTCTATTGTGTAATAATTAGCGTCGGTTATGCGTCAAGAGAATGACTTTCACTAAATTTGTTGACACTAGATATATTGTGTTGATTTAACAAATGGACACTTCATAGAGACGGTTAAATCGACTCTTAGCCGTCGTTAAAATATGTCGGGTGGATTTTAAATATTAAATAAATTTTGTTTAGCGTCAGTCATAAAGACATTAAATTATAATATTTTTAAAATTAAAATTAGTTATTGTCGAAATTGTCGATAGTAAATAATATTTTTATTTTAAATTTATATTTTTAGTGTCAACAAAGTTGATCCTCTAACATATTTTTTTTATTTTTTATTATTATTTTATTGTTCGCTAAGTTGACACTTAAAGTTAGTTATGTTAGTTAGTTGAATTCGTAGAATAAGCTTTTTGTGGACTTAGCCAGCACTAAATGTTCATTTTTTTTTAATTTTGGAGTCAGCCTAATGAAGGCTAGGCCGACGCTATGACCAATTTTTAAAAAAAAAAATTAATGTCAACCTTTGTTGTGTTTGGTTGACACTACATTTTCATATTTTTAGATTTTAATAAAAAAAATATTCTAATCAACAATTACCATAAATTAAGAATCAACTACATATGGTGATAACAAGTAGGAATGTGCACACCATTTATGTCATAAACAACATCAAACCCCTGTGCTGAGATATTGAATTTTACAAAGTCAAGTCCTTCTGGTCTCCTTTGAAATATAGCATAGGAAATTAAAAATACTAGAGTAAATGCTCTAGATATAAAAATAACAAAGATGAAAAGCCACAAATTCACATCACTCCTTACAAGGAGGTTAGTCCAATATTTCCATTTACAATTAGCATACCTTGGAAGAAAAATTAGCATAATCATTGCCTAATTCACTTGGTAATTGCTGAGTGACAGGCACTTTACCTCTTGTAAATAAAGTTACCTGCCAAATTCATATGTTTATAATCAAATCCATAAGTACTTCTAGGAGCAATGAAAACTCATTACAATAAATGCAGGCTAACCAAAATGACTAGTTATAAATAAAGATGTCTTGTGTCATATACTGCATAACAAAATTAAGATCTTCAAAGAAAGCGACCATTAAATAAAAACAACGAACTCACCAAGTGACTCAAGTAGAAATGTGACAGCTTTTCCCTTATCCCAGTCGATCACTGGCCGGACCTCTAAAACCTGAAAGTTAGTGAACATAGATTATTAAAAAGTACTTTAAGAGTTATGTTCTCTTAAAAATGAGTAAAATTTTTGGGCCTTGAAATGGTACCTTCCGCCCATGAGTTAAACGCAAACGTGGGTAATCCTTCAGAACATCATATACACGTTGTCCCACAATACTCCAATTCTGTACATTAAATGAAACAAATTAAGGGGAAGTAAATACATACAATCATGATAAAATATGAAATAAGTTAGTTAAAAGATGGTGCCATCTTGGGAAGAAAGACTCTCCATTCTTATGCTAATGAATAGGCATCAGAAAAGAAGTGAATACCTCTTGATCTACATTGCGGTAATGCACAGACGCACAAAATTTATTGTTCTCAACTAATGCTCCTTCAATGTCTTTTGTACACTCCTTGAGCAACTCAAGTACCTGCACAAACATTAGTTGATCAGCATACAACTTTCCGATACAGAAAAAAAGATTGAAAACTGTTTCATTGTATTGTATTTTTCAAATATACATGCCTCTTCAATCATGGGGAGGAATTCAGCAGCAGGTTGGAATAAATTGACTTCAATACCCTGTAATTTCAAAAGATTATAAATCAAAATTGAGGCACATTAAGTCATCTTTGGACAAACTTTTCCATAAGCACTTCTAGAAGAAGAACAAATAAAATAAGTTCTCATAAGTTAAAATTAACTTCTCCACAAGTTAAAAATTAACTTTTAAGGGAGATAATATCAGAAAGTTTCTAAGAATTAAGTTATACAAAAGTTACTTTTAGTTTCCAAAAATTTATCAACACATACCCTCGGACATATATTCACAAACATATGTCACTTAAAAGCATTGAAACTAGTACCTGTTTGTCAGCAGAACTAATGCACTCAGGGTGATTATCAGAATTAGATTGTCTACGAGGACAAATAATGTCCATCCCATGACTACCAGCATAATAGAGCTCTCTTACTCCAACAAATTCACAAACCTGATCCAATAGGGTATATAATAAAGGTTAAAATCAAAGTCAAAAATGATGATCAACAAGGAAACTTGTTATTTGCAGGTGAGTAATGCAATTCTTCAACTACCTTGTCGCGCCTTCTTCCACTAATTATTGCCGTTGTAAAACATTCTGCGACATTTTTAACAGCAGCACGCATCTGCAGAAAGTTCCAGGATAATTAAGAATCGGCAAAAATAATAACATGAGAAGAAAAACATCAAATTGAAAATCTGGACACTAAATCAAAAGAGAACATTACATAATAAATAGTACATACATTGTCTGACATGAAAGCGCAGTCAGGATTGTCCACAATGGGTGAAAGAGTCCCATCATAATCCAGAAACAATACTATTCTCTTCCCCTTAGCACAGTTTGCAATTTGATCAAACGATGCAAGTGCTGATGGAAACTTAAGCTGTGAAGTGGCAACAGGAAATTTGATAAACATAACATCCAAAATTATTGAACACAAGAGATTACTGAGAGGAAAGTATGTTATACCAGCCAGGAATTATAAGCAGCATCAGATGATCCAATCCCATGACTAACATCCTTGGATACTTTATTGTGAGTAGGAGAAGATGATTTCATGGCATCAAGCCAACCGTTAGAACGAACATCTTCAAGAATTCCTGTCTTCTTCCTTGGAATTGCCAGCAAGGGACCATGGGGAAAGGTTGCCCCTTTAGAAGAGTAAGAAGGTGACAAACCTGAAGGCACACCAAGCCTTGACCTTGTTAAGGGTGTGGTATCAGTAAGGACAGGAGTAAGATTTGTCTTCAAGTCCATTGGATCCAGGTCTATCCACAATTTCAAGTGAAGCAAGCAACAATGTAAGACCTTTAAGGAGTATTCAGAACAAATTGAACTAGTGTCTATCAAACTTCCACTTCACCCAACTCTTTTTCTGTCAATGGTTTTGAGGTAGCAGCTTATCAACAACTGAGTTCCTAAGGAAAAAATGATCATGCAATTAATTAATTTGAAACTCTGAATTCATTGAATATCATCAAGTGACCATAAACTGCTAAAGGCAAATAAACAAACAAAAGAGCAAGCAAAAATAGTTGTATGATTAGAATTTCACATAACTTTATGCCCAGAATTTCTTAACGTCACTCTGACTCACCATGGTGGTCCTGTTACAGACTCAAAATGACCATCATGACACAAACATGAACATAACCAATGTGGACTTGTCTTTTCAACGAAAAACACTCAAAAACAACAATCTAAGAGTGGCTAGTCGAGCATGCATAGCTGTCAACTTCACAATCTGACCCTTTTTATCCCTTCTATTTATTTATTATTTTTACCTTCCCTGATCCTACTCTTCTAAAGTGAGTAAATAGGAAGAATGAAGTAATATCAGAAAATCAATAGTCCATATTAAATATTTTCTCATCAACCACTAACATTATTTACTTTACTACTTTACTACTTTACCCTTATTCACTCTAGCTTAGAGACATCAAATCTCAGAAAAAGCTTCTGCACGTTTCTTTCGTTACTATGACTTTAGAGAAATAAATGGTACTTTCCATTAAATGTATATCATGTCCATTTTATTTATTTTTCTCAAAATCTTAATAATGGTGGAAGTGGAGAAGAAAAGAAATAGAAAGGACGTTGATCCCCAAATCCCCTGCTAGACAGTACATGATCACAATGAGAAGAAGCAATTATTAGACCAAAAACACGATCCCAAAGACAAGAAGCAATTATTAGAACAAAACGCCGAGGAATCGAGCGTGAAAAAAAGAAGAAGAAGAAAGAGATAACATATTTAGCAACGTGATTAAAATTTAAACAGTAGTAAAAGGCAGACAAACCAGAATCACTTGTCGACAAAAACTGAATCAATCAATCATTCATGCAGAGACCGCTCTAAAGAAAACAACGATGCACTCATGAAAGAAAAACGAAACGTTTTTTTCGCAAATAAATAAATAAAACCAGGTCAAAAAAGTTCAATATTAAAATCCAATAATAAGTTTCAAAACAGAAGGCAGCACGAAAGAAAGATTCCCTTGTCAAAACTGTTACCGAACCATTGAATGTCAACACATTTACGCAATCCCCATTAAATAATACTAATAATCAAACGGTCAAAACTCAGAATCTCAATTTGACTAGCAGGGAGAAGACGCACGCACGAGGCAAAAGCACCTAATCCCTCACGCTAAAGAACATACTAACGGGGAATCCTAAACCTCAATATGAACGCAAAAAGTCCTCTCAGCTTTCATCACGTCTATTTATTAAGTGTGTCTTCTAGAAATCATTGAGTCTGAAAGAGACAATCCATAGTCTAACAGTTCATAATTTCTCAATAGTTCTTAAAAAAAGAAGATATGAGCTTAATTCAACCTTAAAAAACTGACTTATAAAATAATGATTATTCTCCATTTATATATGCATCTTATTCCGTTAACAAGGATTTCTTACACACACCTTCACACCGAGGATCAAACATTTTTGGGGTGAAGTTTGCAAAAGTTTACATGACTAGACATCTGCTAGTGGACCAATAACAATTCAATAACAAGGTGACCTGATAAGTCCAACAACACTCGTTACATAAAGGGAGTCAAGTCTAAGAGACATGAATAGTTGTTCAGTCATACAATTTATAACACAACCCTTCAAACATCAAATATGAGCACTTACTTGGTTTGGATGATGGACAAAACTAGGATACATTATTTATGATATAGCCAATGTTGTTCTAATGTTGTTCAATCAAAATTAGAGTTTCACCTCATTAATATATATCGAAATCAAATAAAATATTTTATTATGTTTAGTGTGGTGAGATAAAACTCCAATTCTAATTAAATATTAGCTTCAACAAAACCTATAGAATTTCATGTATGTTAGACAGTCCACCAACAAACAAGTTCCAAGGAAGAATGAAGTGGGAGATTCAGATCACAATGCAAGTTGCAAATTAACAGTCTTCAAACAAACAAACAAACACAAAACCATGTAAGAAAAAAAAAAAAAAAAAAAGAATGCTGGGTCATGGGTGCAAAATTGGAGGAGTTTCCTTTTGCAGTAATTTCCTAGTTACAAGAAAGCAAGAGAGAGAGAGAGAGGGAATGTGCACGTGAGGGAGCAGATAGATACCGTACTCGCTTGAAACTAAAGCTCTGAGAATGGAAAGGAAAATGTTGCAGTGTGAGAAGGCGCAGAGAATGGTGACAGTGGGAAGGGCAATGGAGGGAGTATTTATGCGCGTCGGTCCTCACCTAACGTGCGTTACAGACTACATAGGCGCGGTCGTTGAATAAGGAAACCACTCGCAATTAAAATATTTTGTCATGTTTTTTTCCTATCTTCACTTCGCTTCGCGGGGGGAGCGCGTGAGGGGCACGACGCTTTGTGGTTGCGCTGTGGCGCGTGCCAAGTGGGGCTGCGCGTGGGAGAGGCTTTGAGGGTGAGAAAGGAACGCTACTCCAGTCTAAAAGGACTTAAAATATGTATTACAACTAAGAAGGTGAAAGGAAAGTAACACGTGAGATATCAAATGTGAAATGTTCGCATCTAGCTTCTAGACAAGTGGAGAGTTTAGGTAAAAATTAAATATATGTGTTTAGGTTTTCGTTTGGTCTCTATTACGGTCACACTCTCGATAAGTACTTTAAAGAGTGGAATAGCTGATTCCAAGATTTAACGCGCGGCTGTATATGCAAGGCAAGATTCAAATCTCTAATCTTGCTTCAACGTAGATCAATTCCTATCGCTGAACCACATGTTTAAGTTTCTGAGTCTTTCTCTTATTGCTATATGGAATTACTTAGCATGATGAAACAAAACATGATAACTGCATAATCCCCAAATCTCTAGCACACACGACACACGATGTGACCTGCTTCTCCTCTAATATGTTACATCTCAAACTAATACTAAAATACAGTAATTATATTTAATAAACTTGGACTCATGAGCAAAAGAATTTAGATTACTTTTTTTTTTTGGATTCTTTTTTACTGAATAAATGACTTTAATAAAATAAAGGAAAGATCATTAACGAATGCTAAAAACAGCTTTTACAAAACCCTCTATAAATGGAACAAAATCAAGATAAAAACTAACCAAAACATGTTTCCAATAAAGCCATCATTATTAAAACTCAACTTTGCTATCACCATATAAATTACATATAAATATGAGGTAATCTATGGACACATAAACCAGATCATCACATATTAAAGATCTTCTCAATTCACTTAATTAAAAAGAAGATCTATTAAGAACCAATCGAGCTATTATAGAATTGTTTTATGTTATCGTCTTATTTGTATGATTTTAAAAATAATTCTTTATTAAAAAAATGATTGAGTTTATTATTATTAAAACATATATTTTTGAAGGATTTAAGATTATCTTTTGATCTAACAATCTTTCCCTTTTATGAGGACAAATACACTTTTGAAAAAGCATAGTTTTATGCGCCTAAGATTTAGTCGAATTCTATTAAAAAATGAATATATGACCATACAAAGCATGTCAAACATTACCATATCAATGCATATAACTTATCTAATTAGTGCATATATGATAAAAATCATGTAGTGCATACACTAAGAGTGTTTTTAAGATAGAGATGTTTCCCTTAAGATGGAGCAAAGTTTTAAAGTAGTCAACATAAAAAATAAAACATAAAATCTTTAAAATCTCCTTATTTTTTTCATGATCATGCTTATTATGTTTACTCTTCCTTTTGACACTAGCAAAAACTACGATAAGAGAAACTAGTCCAAAGAAAAGTCTTCGTTGTTAGAATTAAGGTCCTAACAGAACTTGTTGAGCAACTTTTGATAACGACGATTAGAGCAAAATTGTTAGCAAATGAACTTGTGAAGGACGTGACTAGTGTAGTGACCATATATCATCTTCAGCTTTGAGATAGTCTCTAGTACTTCAAGGGTTTTAGTAGAGGAAGATGGTTGCTCTTCTTCCTGGAGGGAGAAGTAACAATAAACACAGTGTGTTTGTACATAAAGCAAATATTTACATGTAAATAAAGAATAAAATGAAAATCAAAAGGGGATGGAAAAATAAAGTGATGACATGATTGGTAGCGAGCATAAGGCTTGGTGGTAGGTGAAATTGATGATTGTAGAACGCATCATTCCATGGTGATGATATGGTAATATTTGTTCACTTTAGAGACTCTAGACCGATGAACTTTGACATAATGCAAATTTCTTATGTTTCAAAAAAAAAAACTAAGAATAATTGTAATTAAATTCTTCACGTTTTATACTTTTGTAATTTAGTTCCTTGGGTTAAAAATTCATTTATAGTCCATGAAACTTAATTAAATATTTTTTTATATCTTCATATTTAAACAATCACATCAGATTATTATCTCATATCACATTCATGTATATCAAGTTTTAATACCCATGAAAATTCTCTCATAATCTCTTTAGTAATAAGAATTACGAAATAATAAAAAAAATTAGTGGGTAAAAATTAAAATCTAATACGCATGAATGATGATATGAAATAATAATCTAATGCATCTATCAAGATATGAGAATATAAAAAATATTTTGTGAAATATCACATATCCTAAACAATTCCCTAGTCCTAAGGACTAATTTCAAAAAAGAAAAAGATGAAAAATCCAATTATAATTATTTTTTAGCTTAAGAATCTAATTGAAATTTTTTTAAAAAATTCATATTTAAAATTTAAAATTTCAAATGATGTATTAAGCTTTTATTAAATAGCTTTATAAATTTCAAACATATACAACCATAAATAACAAGTAATAGTTGCATAATAAACAGTTATGAAAGGGGAAATAATTTGATTTTAAAATATGAATATGTCAATTTGTTTATTTGTTTAATGTGTAAACCTCAACTGTACAAAAGATACTGGCCACTGGCCAGACTCAATGTCCTGTCACCTAAATTGAAGCACATGGCTTTATTGATCTTAGTTAAGACTTAAGATATACTACCTTAATCAAAGGGTACATGGTAGTCATTACATTCTGTCGCCATTTGTGAACAGAGACATGTTAAGTCAAATTACAATGAATCGTGCACGATTTGTTTATATATTTTCTTAATTTTTAGGATTTGTGTTAGCATGTGAAAGAGTAGATTCAGCATCCCAAAAAGATTGTAAGTAGAGATGCGTGTTGTCTTTAATACCAGAAAAGCTAAGAAAAATGTGTCATATTACATTTTTCGAAGACAAATTTAGGTGCCGGCGAAATACATCCCTTAAAGGACTTTCAATTGGACCTTCAACCCCTGCTAAAAGCTCTTGTAACCGCAGCAAGAATTAAAGGGTGTATTAGGTTCGGCATAAAACCTTTTTAACATTTAAAAAAATCATGTAAATTTTAAAATATTTTGTAAAAAAATTAATATTTCTTTTTAAAAAATTTGTAGGAATGTAATAATTTTTAAGATTTTTTTTTAAATTTTAAATCAAAATTTTATAATATAATTTTAATGGATTTGTATTTAATGAATTTATAAGATTTGAAAAAAAATTATTAAATTTTGAAGGACAATATAAATTTTTAAAATAAGACAATTAATAAAAAAAAAAACATAAATAACAAGATTTTTGAATCGATTGCCTTAAACTTCTTTTTCCAATGTTTTGAGTAAAACATTGGTGGCGACTCCATGAACCCTTCCTTTTTATGAAAACCGCTAATCCATGGAGGGTCCCGCTTGGGATTAACATGGATTGGTGAGCCTTTTAATAAAATTGCTCGTTTGACAAGGTCTCAGTTTGAGAATAAGTCATTCTAGCAATCCATATTTTTAAACAAATAAAAGAGTCCAACCATCCTTCGCGAATGCCGAAAGCCCGTTTCGGGCCGGTGGCGACAATGTGAAATAGACAAGTCATATATACCTGGTTAGGGATGGCAATGGGGCCCCATGGGCGCAGGTAATAGTAAACCCACCCCCGCCCCGCTGAATGAAAATTGACCCCATACCCACCCCATATCCGTGCGGTATCCATTAAGCGGGTATCCATGAATTTCTTGAAATACCCGCGAATATCCATAGATATCAATGGATATTTATAAATTTTTTAAGAAATTAAAAAAAATTATATTACAAATAATTTTAAGATTATATTTAATGTCATTGAAATATTAAAAATAAAAATTGAATGTTAATTTTGAATTTGTATTTGACGTTAATTTTGTTAAAATAATAATAATAATGCAAGATAATCAATAACTTAAAATACACTAATCTGACAAATAAGATAATGTCTCATCACAAAGCTACAATAATTCAATATCATAATTCCAAACGAAAGTAAGCAACTTAAAATACATAAATTTTATTGGTCCAATCAAAGCTAGAAAATTAATCAAATTAAATCCAACATAATTTTATAACATGCTTAACACATCTTGGTAACTTCATCAACCTCACTTTTGTAAGAAAATAATATGAGAGAGTGTAGTTTTAGGGTTATGTGATACAAGGATAATTAGGATATTTAAGAAATATTATTAAACGGGTACCCGCGGGTATGGATATCATCATACCCGCCCCCTCCCCATCTATAAACGGGTAAAAAATTATCCGTCTCCATTATCCGCGGGTACCCAAATAGCCTATCTATTTATTATCCGTAGTGGGTTTTACTCACAGATACCCGCGGATGCGGGTATTTTTGCCATCCCTATACCTGGTGACCCTATTTGACAAGGAGCCTAAATAAAAAGACACTAATAAACTTGGTGTGCCTCCCAGGATGAGGGTTTTCTTGGTGCTTGATGAAGAGACATGGAAAAACCCTTTTGGCTGCCATAATTTTGTGTTGAACTATACCCAAAGACATCGACCCTAAAGTTCTTAGTTGCCAAGAAGAACCAAAAACGAGAAATACCAAATAATAAGTGAATAGCTATTTAATTTATAAAAACTACAATGGTCACTCTCACACACAAACACACAAAGGCATAAGGGTAACATACAACAAGGCCAACAGCTCCAAGTCCAAAGATGGCAACAAAAGAACCAAGTTTTGGTTTTGTAGCATTAACAGTAGCCCCAAGACCTACAAGCATAAATGAAAAATATGATTTTGCAATTTTTACTACCATTATCATTACATAAATATCTCAGGGCAGGGATAATCCAAACCTGTTTGATGCCAATTAGTTCACAATAATATGTTAAAACCTAATAATTTCATAAATTAAATAGTGATAATAAGAATACAATATGAA